CTTCAGTGACCGCCTATAGCACCTGGGCCACCGCTACAGTTGTTGCTGCAAAGAAGTAAGTCCCAAGAGGCAGGGAGCGGCCTAAATTGCCTACTAGATCGAGTTTTTCTGCTGATGTCGGTGTTGCTAGCTTTTACAACAGTTGTTACCGTCTCGAGAGCTCACCATAGTTCAGATAACATATATCGCCGAGCTTGGGCGCGTGCTCGGAGTGCGGGGATGGTAAAATACTCATGGTGGTAACTAAAGGAAAAAAATGTTTGGGGTTTACATTTTAAAAATAGTAAAATCTACAAATTATGTGGCAAAATGATGTACCAAAAGAGAAAAAACATTTAAACTGAACATAATGTAACACCATGTTTAATAAAAATGTGATGCGTAAACTATATATTTTTGCTTCAAGCATCCAAGACATATCGTTCATATTATACAAAATATAATTTTAAAATTTTTAGCTTGTGATTTACATGCATGACTTTATTGCTCTGGAAAAAAAGACAAGCAGGACTTGATGTGTTGGCATAGTTTGGTATGGATATATTAACACAAGATTGCAACTTGTGTGTACATGCATGACTTGAGGAAGTCACATAATTTTGATCGGACGGCTATCAATAATTAATGTGACGTACATGGAAACACATGTGTAGAAAAATCTAATAACGGAGAAGCGCCAAAGGGTATTTCCTGTTATAGCATATAACAAATCAAACTGTAGGAGAGACGAACCGAGGTGTATGTGGTGTGGGAGGTTGGGTGCTGGGGATTAAGTGACGGGCAGCTGTCAAGTACACTATGTAGCGATGGAAATTTGGTGCCAAGTCTACATCCATATGGTTACATGCTTCTTGCCAATTAAGGACGAAATTATGGGTATGGCTTGAATGACGGTTGGGCGCTAGAGGATTGATGGCACAGTGGAACTGCTGTTAATTAGGTGTCAATTTAGCAGTAACTGCGACACTCGAGGTCGCATTGTGGACCATACTTTCTCCGTTGCTACATCTCTTTTTGGAGACAGCTCCCCGAGACAGCCATAGGGTCCAACTCAACAAATTTATGGCAATGATTTAATAAGGAAATAGGTGAATTAAGTAACATAGCTAATTACTCATACTATGAGTAACATCACATATATCAAGATAAGATGAGTCTATAACTTAATAAATAAAGTGGTGTACCACACATAGGAGTATGTTACTTCCCACTTTTTTGGTGAATGGGATCTTTAAACCAGAACGCATGTAGTAGTAACATACTCCCTCAGTTCGGTGAAGAGTGTATATCTAGTTTCAAAATTTGTCCATAAAAGAGTGTACTTCTATCTTCTCAACGTACTTTAAAGTAGGAAAAAATACTTCTCTCTCACCACATGGTAATCAAGACCAATAGCAATCTACACATGGTCTTCTTAATTTCTACATGCACTTAGCTCATTGGGGGTTGAGTAATTAAAGAGAAGAGAGATGATGGCTTGCACCTTTCCAATGCATTTTTTACTCAACTCCATAGTTTGTCCTAAAATTTCTAAATGTACACTCTTCACCGGATGGAGGGAGTACTCCACTATGGGCAGTCTGACGTATGACGCGTGCCATTGGGGCACTAACATGTGGGTCTGGTTCCTGATTGGCCCATCTGTCAGTTGTCGAACGGCACCCTACCGTATGGCAGATCCTCGTCCCCTCTTTTTTTTAGATTAAAAAACACAATAAAGGTTTAATTAACGTAACACGAGTTTATATCACAAAGTTTACATTATTAGAAACCTTTTTTTAAGCCGAGGCAAAAGATTTGCCGCACTATTGATTAAGAGAAGAACAGAGTGTGTATTACAAGCCCCAACACAACAAGATTACTCTTCCGGTACAATGTTCCCCAAATTTTTTTGCACATGCGGCAATCCAAAGGCGAGCATCTCCTTTGATGGTATTAAGAACTTCAAGCGTTCTATTTTCTAACGGTAAAACTTTTTTGACATCCAATTTGTATTATATTGATTGATCGAATTAGTGATCCAGGGATACACGTAGATCTTTTAAAACGGGAAGGACTGAGTAAATTAGAGTATTAATGTAGTTTTGTTCTAAGTGAAAAGGTTGACCAAGTCTATAGAAAATAAGCATCAGCATCCATAATACCAAGTAATGCAACTTGTGGAAATATATTCCATTTATGATCTAACAATTTTTTATTTGGTGTCGTATATATTTATTAATAACATTTAAATAGATTTGATCAAAGATTATTATATTAACTGCACCATCACTATTTGTGGTAGATAGTACACGTCGATAGAGTTAGCTAACCATGCAGGTCTTCCATACCAGTTGATGACTTCAAACCATGCTCGATAGCATAGCATATCACTACAAATGTCCTCTCGTCACTCCGACACACAGAGCAAAGGCCGGCGATGGCGCGGTTCATCCAGCACGAGGAGACCCTGTCATTAAGCAATAATATGAATCCGTGTGCGTAATCAGTTCAATCTCCATTAATCTGCAGAGCGAAGTTGATGGTAGTAGCCCCCTGCAACAGAAAGAGAGCTGATGATTAGCCTGGTAGAACTTCTACTAGAACGTGTACAATGATTCTATTTAGAGATGCAAAATTGGATAACCGGTGATGTGAGGGCTGTGGAATGAGGCTATCTTTGGATCGACACGTAAAAAAAATACTTATGGAAAAAAGGGAAATCTAAAAAAGTTATCCCTCTTAATTAAGAAACGATCTCTTAGTAATAATATATCTCACCGCATATATAGATATATTTATTTAGTAGAGACAAGATTAAGAGATACTCATTGTATATTTGTTTTCATCTCTAGATTACGAGGCAGAGTTAAGATAAAGACTTATCAACCACTATATATGTCAAGAAAGATAGTGGAACAAAGGAAAGAGAACTGCCTTCTCTTACTTAAGATATGGTCTCTTAGGAAGAAAAGTAGTAAGACATTTCCTTCCATTCAACGAGATGTCTTCTCTTATTCACATGTTTCTAGCTTAATGTTTAACGGCCCCATAATTTTAAGATCTCTTAACATAAAATGCTAGAGACAACACGAAGAGATAATCTATTGTATAACTAGTTTTGCTTCGCTATACCCCTTAAAAGTTTGAACGTCTTAAAGTTACTTGAAAACGATATTCGCGTACATTCAAGATCAACAAATTCTAAACCCTACTTTTCCTAATTATTGTATAACATGTTTTATTGTCTTTTCTAAATGATGTGGAATAAATAAATAAAATCAACTTACCAACCAATGTACACGATTACATTCACTAATAATTGGAATAATGGTTGGTAGCAGCCCCAGGATATTTTTCCTCCATCTGGTTACGTGGTTCTCTCCCATTATTAAGACGTACTTAACGAACGATGGAGACCCAGGATATGATAGCTGAGGAGTGTAAATGTGTAATAGCCAGCTTCTGCGGGTAGAGCGGACGAAGAAGGGAGTGCGGACTTTTGTTGATCAAGCTCTTTGGAGGTCGGTATTTTAAAAAGTTCAAAAGGCATAATTAGAAGTTTCAAAGAAATTTTTAGAAAATCCATGGAAACCTACATGTGTTCAGCACAAACATGTGAAGAATTGTTCGAAAATATTATGATTTGCAGGCTTTACAAAAACATAAAATTTCAGCCCAACAACAAAAAACGGCCCATTTTGACAATACATATTTGTCTTTTTATTAGCCACGTGTGAAAGTATACTTTTATGAAAGTTTGCACATACGTAATATACACGCGTATGTTACACACAAAATTCAAATGTTTCTGCGTTGTACAAAATTGTATTTTGAAAATTAGCTCCAAGATGCTCGAGCACCATTAGCATTTTCCACGAAGAAGGGCACTACTCGAACCAGAGAAGGAGATCAGTACTTCAGAGCTTCTCGATCTCATTACTTGAGTCAAAACAACCGAGACGACCGGGTCAGATGATGTGCTCACAACACGGGGGGAAATTATGTGATGCCATGTTACAAAAATCAAATTTCCATGTTTCAAAAAATTCTAGAAATATTGTGAATGTTCACAAGACATTTGTCTACTATCCCTAAAAAAATTCATATTCGAATTCAGATGCGCATTGAGTAATAAAAAAACAAATTCAGCATGAATGGTGCCACAAACAGAGAACCAAAAAACAAATATTCATATGTGGATTTTCCCTTTTTTGTTTCTCTATGTATATTTCTATTTTGGATTTGAACTTTTTAGAAATTTAGGCACGCGTCTTGTCAACGTTCACATTTTTTTTGGAATTTTTTGAAGCATTAAATTTGAGTTTTGAAACATGGTGTCATCATATCATGTGATATATCCCCCTCACAACATACGCACACACGCCTCCTCATGTGTGTTGTATTTTTAAAACAATTATGTGATGTGTTGTATTTTGAGCTGGGTGATACGATAGCCGTCTCAAAGCCAACAGACAACTCTCGCGCCGATGTGCGTCCCCTCACAACTAACACCCCACATGTCAGCTCCTCATCAAATCCTCATGTGTTGTGCCATGACAATTGTTTAGCTGGAATGTGTTGTGCCATGACAATTGTTTAGCTCGAGTAATGGCGCTTGGGCACGAGGGGACTGATGGCGGGTAGCGATCGCACGCTGTAGCACGAATGCTAATTTGTTTGGTACCGCTCAAGGATGGGCAATTCTTCGTAAAGTTTGCTCACAGTTTTTCTTATTTTTAAAAAATTATCAACATGTACAATACTAAATAAATAACGTGTGAGTGAAAATATCCTTTGTCAAAAATAATACTTAGAGCATGTGGGCCATAGTAGTGGACATAGTATAATTTTTCGCGACATAGTAAGGCTTAGTCAAAGCAAGGCTTAGAGCATGGAGCAACGATTATTGTAGCTATAGGAGTACTATATGTCGTACTAGCGGTATAAATAGATGCCCTCCCATTCCCTAAACATCCATCATCCGCTTGCTTGCTGTCCGGCCAGAGCAACGATTGGCCATGGGTTCCACCAAGCCACTCCGGCTGATCCAGCACAAGAAGGAGGCCCTCTGGTTCTACAGCTTCATCTCCTTCGGCTACGACCATGTGTTCAACCCGGGCCAGTACACCGAGGACATGCGCGACATCTCCCTGGAGCATGCCCGCCTCCATAGCCGGGCCCTCAAGGTGGTCGACGTCGGTGGTGGCACTGGCTTCACCACGCTCGGCGTCGTCCGGTATGTCGACCCCGAGAACGTGACGCTGCTCGACCAGTCGCCGCACCAACTCGACAAGGCCAGAAGGAAGAAGGCCCTCAGGGGCATCAAGATCATGGAGGGTGACGCCGAGGACCTCCCCTTCCCCACAGACACCTTCGACCGATACGTCTCCGCTGGCAGGTCGGTTATGGACAATCTCCTCTCCTTAGACTTTACGTTGACACATCCAATGATCGAGTTGTCTGAGTTCTTGATTTTGGCCTCCATGCATGGCAGCATTGAGTATTGGCCTGATCCGCAGCGGGGGATCAGGGAGGCCTACAGGGTCCTGAGCGCCGACGGCGTGGCTTGTATGATAGGCCCCGTGCGCCCGACGTTCTGGCTATCCCGCTTCTTCGCTGACATGTGGATGCTCTTCCCCACGGAGGAAGAGTACATCGAGTGGTTTGAGAGGGCCGGCTTCAAGGATGTCGAGCTCACCAGAATCGGGCCAAGGTGGTACCGCGGTGCCCGTAGGCATGGCCTGGTCATTGGGTGCTGTGTCACAGGCATCAAGACACAAAACGGGGATTCCCCCTTGCGGGTACTTCCTTTAATTCAAACTAGCACATATGCCCTTGTGTTGTAACGGCGAAGAAAATTATCGGTTATGTGCAAGCACAATGTCCTGTAGTGAATTTAGTAGGAGAAAAACACTAGTTGTCCCATCCACCAAAGCGATCAACAGTGCTACATCTGCATGGTGCCACCCGGCTGTAGGTAGCGCATGCCTGAGTCTAGAAAAATAATATCAGTCAGGCATTAATCACATATGTTTGTTTGTTGCAATGAAAAGGAAATAATCAATAATGTGCAAGCACAAGACCCTGTAGCCAATTCTCTAGAAAAAAAATGCTAGTTATCCCGTCCATAAAAATTACCCGCAGTGCAATATCCGGATGGTGCCACCGGCGGCAGGCGCACACCAAAGCCTAGAAATGAATGCATATCAGCCACGCTTTTAGAAAGAAAAGACGACAGACACAGGAGGAGAAAGAGAATCGACACAGAAGCAAATAATAAAAAGCTAACTAACACAACTACTCTCTATAATTAGACCAGGGGTCGCTTTACTCATCAGGTCCCATTAGACTAGCCACGACACAAAGTAGTAACATGAGCATGTTATTACTCTATGTTACTACCTCTATAGTAAGAAGTAACATATGTGTGGTAACATGCAACACTTCATTTTTTAGGCTATAGACTCATCTTGTCTTGATATGTGTTATGTTACTCATACCAGTAGTAACTAGCTATGTTACCACATATGCCTCTCTTTCTTCATTTATTACTTGCCACATCATCTATGTGATGTTACTACCTATGTTACTTTTATTATGGGTAGTCTTATAACTAGATGATTCCCATCTTAATTACCCTACATTTTCATCTTGTACAGCTTGGTCCAAAGGCTGAGGATGTCAGCAAGCCACATGTGAACCCCATCTTCGTCTTCTTTCGGTTCCTCATTGGGACAATATGCGCCACATACTTCTTCCTAGTGCCTATTTACATGTGGATCAAGGACAAGATTGTGCCCCAAGGCAGGCCTATCTAACTGAAGATGCTGCCTGGCAGGAGGAGACAAGATTGGAGTCAATATCTGATCTAAGCCGTGAAAATACCTCTTCTGTTTCATGTTGTGTTATGTATCTATACATATGTGGATGCGCGTGGTTGTCAGAAGACCGATCTATTTTTGGCGCCGTGCATCAACCGATAGAGAGGCAGCTGCTCGAGGGCATGGGAAACTAATTGATCAGACTTGTTTCCTGCTTATGTATCTCTCTTCGACTTGTGTGGACCCCTAAGAAGGTCCACCATCTCCGTGTACAAGTAAATCAAGGAGAAGTCATTCGTTGTAACACAAAGTGAGTATATAAACAATGGAGAAGTGTACTACATCTTCTTTACATATTAAAGTATTCAAAGTTGTGCTCATTGTTACGCAAAGTTGCGCAACATCGAAACAACGACCGTCTTTTAATACTTCGATTGAAGTCAGTTTTATCTTTTTCACATACTGCAATTTGATCTAAAGTCAATAGTTTAGGTATTTCTCTTGGTCATGGTTATTATAAAATTGCAGCCTCCATTAATTAATTAAATTAAAGCTTATGAATTGGATAGTGCTATTACCATTCTTCAAAGAAAAACGCCGTTGACACCTATGGAGGATACTGATCCCAATAGTTTGTCCACAAACTCATTGCAAGGCTTTTGTGAAGACCTGGCAAATGAGGAGCTTTCTCATGATGATGGAAATTTGGATAGTCATATGGACTGTATGGTAGTTCCTGATAAACCCAAGAGAAAGCAAATGTGAAGAAAGTTTATGATGTATCTTCGATAAGACACAATACTCTTAAATGTTTCCAAATAAAGTCTGATAAATGCAGGATTTTGTGGAATAGTAGAGGTCTTGGTGACCTGGCTAAGCATCGTTTTCTCTCAATTATGTAGTGAGCAAAATTTAGACTTTATAGTCTCCATGGAGACTAATAAGGATAATGTTTTTTTCTCCATTTTAAGTCACCTCTGTGGTGGTCTTGACTTTGCTTAGTATTTGCCTTCCTACCGGCTAGTGAAGCCAAGTGGACTGCAGCTTCAAACCCAAAACATAAAATCCAGTGTGACAAAGAAAACCAGTCAACCTATCAAAATTTAAATAACCACTCACCTTAAGACAAAATATGAAGCAAGGTCGAATGATATATGGACGGGAATACGATCATTTTTTGTTGGTTAAATGTTTTGCTAGAAAATTTACCCATTATTCATGTTATTATTGGAAAAATATTTTGGTATTAGTGTAGTTGCTAACCCGCGTATATATTATTTTCCTTGGTTCCGGCCACGCCCCCCCACCCCCACCCCCTCTTTTGGATAAAGGGCGCTTTTATTATCTCAAACTATAGCGATACAAAGCATTAAAATTATCACCCGACCTCTGCATAACTACGATGCATACACCAAACATCAACAGTCTGAGAGAAAACAAGTAATAAAAAACTGACAATTTGGCAATGGTAGAGTCCCATAGACCGACACTATGCCTATGTCGAAATGGCTGATGGACCGATCCGGAGATTATGTTGCCACCCATGTTGGGTAGAAACCTCTGTAGCCACCTGCTCCAACCGCTTACACACCCCCTTGAACAATGATTGGTACTCCACACATTGTAGCATAGACCACGTACGAAGTAAGTGCGTACAATGGAAAATAACTTGCAAAGAGAAGTAATTTTGTCATTAAAACCAAAATCATTTCTGCGTAGCAAGAGCGACCATATTAAGGCATATGCTCGCACCCTTATTACCATTTTGTACCTATTTGAAATACCGTCCAACCAATGACCAAAAACATGAATAAAAATGGAGTGGAAACTTTTTGTTTTTCCGCAGAAAAAATGGAAACGGAGAGGAAACATGAAAACAAAAATGAAAATTTGCAAAACAGAAATGGAAATGAAATTTTTTCATTATTTCCTATCAATTTGCTAACAGAAAAAAGGTTGATAGTTTGTACACAAGGTTATTCACCTAGATGTTCTCTACACACAGAAAAAGAACATGATAAACACTATCTGGTTACTAATCTTGCTATTTGTTCTAAGCAATTTGAATTATATACTGGTAAAGCAAGGTCTACTTATTTTTAGCTCAACGTATGTTTTGCCAGTAAGAAACACTTCCAAATGTATGTCTCTTGTATTTATAAATATATGTTCTAGGAGATCATGCACTTAAATGTTATTTGATCTGCTAGTTTTGGTATTATCTCATTGCAGTAGCATATACTCTCCGCATGGTGCCCTTGCCAGAAAAAAATGTGTGTAATGCTTGCGTTTTAAATCCAGCTTGGAAGGACCAAGTTACAAAGTAAATTACTGAATGAAATATTGCTATTGATTAAACTTAGTAAATGATATTCAATTAACCTGATGTAACTAGGGTAATCTTCTTCGCACACTCCTCAAAGATAAAACTTGTGTTGGCATACTAAGTGCAAATCCGTTTATTATGTTTCCTACTTCTGAAAGAAAATTGATTTGTACTTTAAGTTTTATAGCTCTGGGTGCGAGCAAGGTTAGAAGGAATTTTTAATCCTAACGAAAATCTGGTAACTTATCAAATAAACCTCAACTGTTTATTCATCAATTTCTTCAGTTTGTGTACATACATATGATCCTCATGATTTTAGGCTCTCAATAATATATCAACTGATGAAGGTAATGGCTCTTTACACTCTGTGAATTAATCGGGAAGTTAATTTAGATATCTGAATCAATCAACTCTTATGATGACAACAGTGGCAAAGCTAGCAGCGACTGTGCTGCTTCCGCCCCAGCACCTATCCCTATATGGTTGGGTTGGTTGCTTTGTATACAAAGCGGGGGGAAACCCTTTTTCGGTTAAAAAAAAGCTAGCAGCGAGTTACGCCTAGGGCCGAGCTAGCTTGAACAATGCCAATGGATGACAATGAACATGTCATTTATAAGCAGTGCTATGCAAACATACACGCACTTTTTATGTTTATTAAGACTGTACATACATTACACGCACTGACGGAGCTACTCGTATCAAAAATAGGCCACGGCCCGCCCAGCTAGTAGCAAATGCAGTGAAGGATTCAGAGTAGATTGAGATGTGAAAGAAAGAAATAGTGGATTTCCTTTGTACTGGCCCGCCTACCATTGATAGCGTAGCTCCGCCACTGATTACACGACTTGTGCTCTGTGGAATGTCTCAATGACACACACACACACAAACACAGTGATGCACGAAAATGTGGTTTTGAGCCATTGGGTAAGGCGATTGTGATTTTGCTCCTGTTACAACGTGTGGTTTTTTTTGCCAGTGGTTAATGACAAAAAGAAAAAAAAGACCACGAACATGTAAGATTAGCAATGAACTCTTGCGGCATTGCTAATGGGCATTCGCTATATTGTATGGGCCATCCCTCCTTGTATGGATACCTCAGATGTGTGCCTACAAAATGACCAGGGAGTAGACTGATCTGAATCGATCATTTTTTAGTTCCTTGGTTCATTTGTGTTCTTTCTCTGAATCTGTACGTAAGTGTTGCATTTAGAGTTGAACTGGTGACAAAGCTGAGCAGTTTCTGTTGGAAATATGCCCTAGAGGCAATAATAAATTGATTATTATTATATTTCCTTGTTCATGATAATTGTTTATTATCCATGCTAGAATTGTATTGATAGGAAACTGTTGGGGAACGCAGTAATTTCAAAAAATTTCCTACGCACACGCAAGATCATGGTGATGCATAGCAACGAGAGAGGTGAGTGTTGTCTACGTACCCACGCAGACCGACTGCGGAAACGTTGACGCAACATAGAGGAAGTAGTCGTACGTCTTCCCGATCCGACCGATCCAAGCACCGTTACTCCGGCACCTCCGAGTTGTTAGCACACGTACAGCTCGATGACGCTCCCCGGGCTCCGATCCAGCAAAGCTTCGGGGATGAGTTCCGTCAGCACAACGGCGTGGTGACGATGATGATGTTCTACCGACGCAGGGCTTCGCTTAAGCACTACAACGATATGATCGAGGTTGAATATGGTGGCAGGGGGCACCGCACACGGCTAAGGAACGATCACGTGGATCAACTTGTGTGTTCTAGGGTGCCCCCCTGCCCCCGTATATAAAGGATCCAAGGGGGAGGGGTTCGGACGGCCCTATGGTGGCGCAGGAGGAGTCCTACTCCTACCGGGAGTAGGACTCCCCCCCTTTTCCTAGTCCAAGTAGGATTGGTGGAGAAGAGAGGGAAAGAGGGGGGCGCCGCCCCTCCCTCCTAGTCCAATTCGGACCAGGGGGAGAGGGGGCGCGCGGCCTGCCCTGGCAGCCCCTTCCACTTCTCCACTTTAGGCCCAGAAGGCCCATTAGCCCCCGGGGGGGTTCCGGTAACCCCCGGTGCTCCGGTTTTATCCGATACTCTTCCGGAACCCTTCCGGTGTCCGAATATAGTCATCCAATATATCAATCTTTACGTCTCGACCATTTCGAGACTCCTCGTCATGTCCCCGATCTCATCCGGGACTCCGAACTCCTTTGGTACATCAAAACTCATAAACTCATAATACAACTATCATCGAAACCTTAAGCGTGCGGACCCTACGGGTTCGAGAACAATGTAGACATGACCGAGACACGTCTCCGATCAATAACCAATAGCGGGACCTGGATGCCCATATTGGCTCCTACATATTCTGTGAAGATCTTTATCGGTCAGACCGCATAACAACATACGTTGTTCCCTTTGTCATCGGTATGTTACTTGCCCGAGATTCGATCGTCGGTATCCAATACCTAGTTCAATCTCGTTACAGGCAAGTCTCTTTACTCGTTCCGTAATACATCATCCCGCAACTAACTCATTAGTTGCAATGCTTGCAAGGCTTAAGTGATGTGCATTACCGAGAGGGCCCAGAGATACCTCTCCGACAATCGGAGTGACAAATCATAATCTCGAAATACGCCAACCCAACATGTACCTTTGGAGACACCTGTAGAGCACCTTGATAATCACCCA